ATTTTTGTTATATCTGTGCACAGCTACTAACATAAATTGTTGTGCTGTTACCAAACTCATAATTAGATGACTGAATATGGAATCAAATTGTGAAGCCAAATAGAGGACACCTTTCAGGACCTGAATTGCAACTGGGTAATCCTGCAGTCACTGTCCCTTAATAGCTTCCTCCACAGGCAGACACAGGCCTTGGCGCTCGCTGTTATTGTGCTGCTATATTCTGTGAGGGCTGCCAACTTAAAAGGAAGCCTGTTATTCAACCTCAGAAAGAAGTCAGCAATTGGCATAAATGTCCCCTGGAGCCTCACGGAGAGAGCCTTGTGAGGGGAAATGGCCTCTCAACAGATAATGCCATAGAATTCTTATAAACAAAATGACGCCGGTGTTGTTTAATCATCAAGATGTAGCATCAACCATCATCTCTTATTGTGAGAAGATGAGAATCTAACTAGAATTTGAGCAGGAGAACTCTGAGTCCTCTGGCTCCACCCGATCAATATGCCCTTGCTCCTTCTATATACCCTGTGGGGATATATCTGAAACTACAGAATTTCTTGTGGAAAGGTACCTTGACGTATCGCTAATTCCATCCAGTCTCATCTTTGCGGGGATCTTTTCCAGTAAGTCATCATCTTGATGGAATCGGGCTGCTGTTGGAGAAATGTGGCCACAGGGGCCCTTCATGTCACTTGTACTGATCTAGATGGGCTACCTTGAGGTTGTGCAGCTGCACTGGATTACACAGACAGATCCAGGAGGGGTTGCAGTGGGGGATTGGAGCCAAAGTAGGCCTCGTGGTTTGAGAATTTTCTTCAGCCTCCCATGTGAACTTCTTCATGTGCTTTTCTAGGACCTTATGGTGCCTGTTGGCATCTTTTTCTGCTGCTTAGGAGGTGCCGTTAGAATGCTTCAATTTGTTTTGAGAATTTGATATGGCTCTTGAGGTTGTGGCTCTGGAGCTACTGCCGCTTGCCGTTGTGACCGCTTATTAGATTTTACTGTTAATGAGGCTGAAACATTGGGCAGTTGGCATGCCCAGGGGCCTGAACCAGCAATGGCCAGGGAACCCTAAAACAATGCTCCCCAGTTTTGTATAATCTTATGTAAGAATATTGGAATTCTTATTCTTGTTCCTATTATTATCATCATTATTATTATTTTGTTATTAATATTATTATTTCCAATTTAGCCAAATTTGGAACACCTCGTAGGCCTAGAAAGGAGGAACTGTTGAAATAAGATGTAGGCTTGCAACAGCTTCCAGCACAGGCGGATACCAGCCTTGGTGCTCGCTGTGGTGCTGCTGTTTAATTCTGTGAGGGCATAAGCCAACAGTTTTCTCCTTAATGAATAAGGGTCCAAAATAGAATAATTATATCTGAATATCAATGTACGTATACATATGTACATACATATGTATTTGTTTTCTTAATACCATACATATGTGTGTGTATATACGTACGTACGTACGTACATATGTATTAGGGTGATTTCCCCCGGGTTCCAGGTAGGAGTCCCTTGCTTGGGAGAAGAAAGGCCTCTCACAGTTCCAGAAATAAAATGCAGATCACTACCATGCAGTTAGTGAGTCTGCAATGCCGCTTTTATCTCTTTAGGCGCATAATGAGTAAAATCGGCTTAGTAGCAATTCTGCGCCTTGTGGGGAGTCGATATTGCAGAATTCCCCCTGAATAAAAAGGAGCGGTAGGGCAGATGGGCGCTGATGCCCCCACCCCAAACCATGTTCCCAGGGAAGAGAGAGAAGCCTTGGACCCTTTTAAAATGGAGCCGCTCCCATTGAGCGGGGCGGCGGCAATCACAGTGGCTTGGCTTGAATAGATCGTAAAGGCACGAGCTAAGAAATGTGAGTTGTTAGCCATGCAGCTGAGGCGTTATCGCCTCCGATTGCCCTGGGGGCGAGGAGATCATTATCCGAAGCTATGGTGAGCTCCCTTGGCTCAATGTTATATGCCGTAGGGAGCTGCTGGGCTCGTTGATACGAAGAGCCTTAAAGGATTTTTTTACAGTTTAAAAGCAAACCTTTTTGTTGTCTCTTTTTGAAGCCTTTGCTATTCCGGCCAAGGGAAAGGAAATTAAGCTGCCTGTATCCATGAAGGCTGAGTAAAAACTGGGGACGCTAGGGAGGAGTCCCATGGAGGAGGAGGAGCGTCTCCATAATTAAAACCCAGCCTACCAGACGAGCAACAGAAGCATCATCCCAATCAATGGATGTTCTGAACAGCTCATCTGGAGAATCATATCCTTTTCCTGGGAACCTGAATGTCCCTCTCATTTCAGAATAAGAAGCTGATAAATATATTTTTGTAATGTACTTGTTTCCAAAACTTACTTTCATGTAACATTCCCAACTGATTTGCTCTGTTTTTCATCCTCTACAACTCCAGTCTTTAAAAGTGAGCCATAAAAAACTAATGCTAAGTTATGCTTTCTTTTCATACCCAAGACTGAAATCAAAAGCATATCCTTCTCAACCAACACTTTTTTAATCCAATTAATTCTAACCAACAGACTAAAAGTATCTCTGCACACAGCTTTTCATATATTCAAACCATAGGAAAATGGGTCTCAGTCCACATGAACAAAGTGGCACCTCTTTTGTGTGTGTCCATGTAATACAACTTAGTGACTAATATTTGCTCCAAAATATTCTAATTATCTACTAAATACATTCTTGCAGAAAACAGTGCTCATACAAAAGTTTCTGTCCAAAAAAAATCCATATATCTTTTACTTCAACCAATATTAACTTTTTATAATACATTAACTTTGGACTGGTTATTATTACATTAAATTTTTATTTCATGGGGCTTTCTAAAAAAGATTTATTGCAGTGAGCCAGGTGCTTATAAAATGCAAGACAATTTTTAAGCTCCACGTATTCTTCTTTTATACTACAATTGTCTGGATGCCATTCCTATTTTTATCAATAGTTCGTTACTTTTTGCTCATTTTTCAGAACAACTGCAAAGCAGCTCAAAAATAAAACCAAGTTCACCTTCATTTGACAAAATCTTTACTATTAAAGTGTAACCAGATTTTAGAAAATACACCTTACAAACCACAGCTTTCTTGGGGGGAGGGGTAATTCTTTATGAATTTTCAATGAAAAAATGTACTTTCAATATAACTTCTGCATATGTCAACCTCATTGCGCATGTAGCACATTTTATTTTACAGATATTTCCCTATCTTCAATTCTTTTGAATAAATATTTTTAAATGCAGAAGCAATGAACTGCATTGAAATATTTTTCAAATCAAAGTTTCTCATAACATGCCAGACAAAAATATGATCAGTGATGGGTTGTCTTTGCTTATATTGAGGGATATGGCATTTTCTATTTCAATTTAACAAAACAGCCCCAAAACCTTATATTAGCCTATTGTTAGAAACAAAGTATTACATCAATATAGGATGCCTTCTTAAGGAATTGTGTACATAAACACATTTGCCAAGCAAGCTTTTCTCTTGTGTTATTCCCAATATATAAAATATATAGTATTTGCAATAGAATTACCAACAATCTCACAATTTAGAAAAGTGTTGATGGGACTTTCATGCAGGCATTTAGGACAATGCTTTTATCCTCCCATGGCCCTTTAGGATTGGAGACTTCAAGAAATTATCCAGTGGCCTCTGAGCAATGCAACCAATAGATTAGAACAGGGGTGTCAAACTCAATTTCACTAAGGGCCGCATCAGGGTTGTGGTTGACCTTGGGGGGCCAGGGCCCGTGGCTGACTGGGTAGTGTGGCTGACTAAGTAGGCATGGTCAGCTTGACACCACTTCTCAAACTGCTGGCATGTTTCCTCTTTGCATTGAGTAGACCAGGCCAAAGCCACACTGGCCTAATTGGGTAGACCGGGCCGAAGCTACATTGGCCTGATCTTTCCTTTTCGCACCAGGTATACCAGGCTGAAGCTTTGCTGGCCTGATCTTTCCTCCCTGCATTGAGTAGACTGGGCCAAAGTGATGTGTGTAGACTCAGATAGCCCCACGGGCTGGATCTAACCACATCATGGGCCGAATCTGGCCCGCAGGCCTTGAGTTTGACACCCCTGGACTAAAAGTAGGAGTCTTAATCTCCAGTCCCAGTTGCAATGTTAATATACACATACATACAACACACATCTTCTTTGGTGTTGTTATTTGTGAATTATCGGAAATAATTCTATTAAATCAGCTACAGGGTTGGCATAAGTTTTCTCTCTGGGTGAAGTATTATTAAGGATTGGATCTTTCAGATTCTAGATTATCTTCCCCACTTTTCCCTCTCCTAATGTTGGAGTTCTTATGGTTTGCAAACATTGAAAAAGGGGACATATTGCATTTCTCCCTTTAAGGTGGAATCCCTTTCGCTGAACTTTCGCTGATCAACCCCTCTATAACAGTCCTGGAATGCCAAAGGCCATAAGGTTACAGTTTACATCAGAGTCTTTTTATAAAAATAAAAAAGGGGGAAATAAATAAATTTTCAGAACATTGTTGTTTTAGTGATTTTAATGGGATGTTACTGTTGGTTTTATGTCTGTCTGCCAATATTGCTTCTTTTTAATTTGTAACAGTTTTCCAAAAATGATTATTATTAAAATGTTTATGGACAACTTCTTAGTGTGAAAAGTGGCACAAAAATATTGCAACCAATAAATAATGATATAAGTATAAAGAATATAAAAGTAAGTCCTTATGACTTTATGACTTTTATAGAGCTGCATGACATCCTATCTATCAGTTGTAAGCTGTTTGACAAACTAAAAGAACATGTCTTAGAAGGGCCCCAATTCTATGTTTTCAATGCATCTCAATATACATGCAGGAAGAAGCCTTGGTTTGTGGTGATTCATAAATTGCATACTTACTATATCACTAAGAACCATCATGGATGCCCAAGGTAAAACTTTCAGTTCTTCCTACTGAAGGTGAAATGAAATGAAAATACAAATACCACTTTCTAATATATGAACCTACTACACCTTACCAATTTGGATTTTCAGAGCTTTCTCTGAAGACTGATTCTTCATTTAGGGTGGCATACTCTGTCCACGTAAGACAATGAGTCTTCATAGACATAATTCTATCTTGCATATTAAGCCACGACTCCTCTTCTAAGTAGACTTCTGATACTTTCAGGGTACTAATCTGTCAAATGTAACATTTACAATGGTCAATAAATGGAGTGAGGAAAAAACAATCAGTTTATGTACATTAGTAAATAATTTCATTCTTTTCAAACCATTAATATTTATATTAAGGCTAATATCTATCAGTAACGAGTAATCACTGACACCACATTGACATTTGATAAATATGCAAGCTTTTATTGGTTATTTCCACTGCTTAGTAACTTGTTAAATGTTGCCAACTGCAACATTTAAAAGCAAAGCATTGTTAATATGTGCCATTTTCTTTTTCTTTTTAAGTCCACTTTAACATAACAGAGCCAAAAGAAAGCATCCACTGTTTGCACACAAGGCATAATTACTCAAAACATTTCATTTTTTGGGTTCATTTTTCATTCTTTGTTACCTGTAAATGTTATGCTTTCCCATTTGGATGAGGCATGGAAAGAGTAAAAAGAAATGTGGTAAAATTGAATTATATTTTCAATAAATAAAATTAAAAAAGCACTTTACAAAATTGTATGGTACATAGCAGAATATATAGTATATCATAAATAATATAATTTAATTTGAAAGTTGAAGATATTAGAAGTTTAAAACAAGAATTGCCATTTTATTTTGATTCTAGAAATTAACTATATTGTAAAAATGTTAGTTTGATTGTTTTACAAATCCTCATTTTGAGATAAGGACTTTAAACACCACCTATCTCCTCTACAAGACACAAAGTCAGCTTTTAAATGCTGTCATTTGTAATTCAGAAAAGTTAAACTAATGAATTTTGAACAAAAACATAGTTTGCCTATATCATGTTTATAATGAATTTTAATGGATTGAAGTTAGTTACCTTTCTTAAAATGTGTGGAATTACATTTTGGCATGTTGCAATCCTTCTCCGATATATGACTCCTGTAGACAAGTCTGATAATAAAAGAATAAGTTTTCAGAGTAACCAACAAAATCGAACAAAATTAGCAAGAAGGCTTGGAAGCCATAAAGGGATTTAGTTAATGTTTTCAAAGAATATTGCAGAATGTTAATCAAGGAATGCCAACAACCCTGCCTAGTAGTCTTGGAACAACTGATTTAAATCTACTGTGATAACAAACATAAAATACAATGCTAAGTTCAAACTTTTTAGAACTTCCTGGAACTGCCTTGAAATCATAGTAAATTTTGGCAAATAGCAGTCAGGGAGTCAATTTTGGAGGCACTTGTGTTGCTAGTTACAAGCTTCAAGTATCTTCCTGGGTCAGCACTTCAGAGCAAAAACAGCTCATTTTTCTCACTCTGCATTCTAAAGTACATCCTAAGACCATAAACTATCTCTCTGCCATCTAGCAGTGCCAATGTTTGAAGTCTAAAGCAATTTTCTTGGACAACATACATTTATTTTTGCTCTGAACTGAATCAATGACAAGAAAAAAACTCCTTTCTAAAAATTAAAGCACAGCCCCTTTCTCAAATTATAGATATTGACCTACAATACAAACGTGACTGGCTTCTAAAATCAATTTGCATTTTAATATTTAATGATTCCTGATTAAGTCCATGTTTCAGGAAGATGTTAACTGATAACCTGGGTGGGAAAATAGCCTGGAGCAAGGCCATTATTTGCTCTTGAGAAAAGGCAACTCTTTCTGAAACCTTATCTGAATATTTCTTCCCTGGAAACAGCATCCTGCAGTACGTTTTAAATAGACATAGTGGCACTGTATATGGATTTCCACTTGACATATTTACAGGGAGTCTTACGCTGATTATTTCCCAAAGAAAAAAACTGTATTAAAAATGCATGCCATGGCAAATACGAATTTTGAATATTTTGAAAAATAACTTGGTATTCCTTCCAACAGATTATTTCCTTAAAAAAAAAAAAAATGTAAGGCAACAGTTGGAAACTGAGTTGATGGAATGACCAATCTTGGTTCCAGTTCCTCCCAGAAGCAGTAATTATTTATTCATTTCCTGACTAGTATTTGTATTATAGGTGCAGATCCTTTTAGTGTATTTTGTACTACTAACTATGTTGCAATGTTATCCTTTTTTCCTGAAGACAGGACGTTTCTACCTCTGTGACCCCAATCTGACAGCCACAATTGATAAGGCAGTTCTTGGCGGGAGGAGGCGATTGGAACAGTCATTTAGGGACAAGGAACAATCGTTGAATAAATCTGTGGTTTTTTAAAAAAACCTAAGAGCTTTAAAAAAAACGATGCTTGAAGAGTTCGAGTAATAGAAGAAGACATAATTGATATAATCCACAGATGATTATTATTGCTAAATTATTCTGAACCACAGAAATGAATCTCAGAACTAAGAATGAATTATCTCTTTTGACTGCAACCACAGATTGTCATGAGATTCACCTTTTACTTTAGAAAAATGGCTCATAGGAATTTTCTCACAATCCTGAATTTGCTTATATTTCTGCTCCAGCATAATTTTCAGCAAGTATGCAGTAGTCATAAAAATATATGAAACTGAATGGGATGCTTATTCATAGCTGAAAAAAATTATATAGCTCCATTTTACTCACTGCTGCAAAATATTAAACGTTCCATTATAACTGCCAGGGGCTAGTAATTAAATATTTCCTATCAACTGAAGAAAAGACTTTTATTGTATGTATGTACGTGCACATATGTTTTCCTTCTTATCAAAATGGGTCGCAACACCTAGCAATCCTTTCAAATCTGACCAGAGTGTAGTCTCAAGGAAAGAGAAGAGATATTACAGGACAGAAAGATAAATATAAAACTGATGATCCAGGTAGGTGGACAATGAAGATTAAGAAGCTATGGATTAACTAGTTTTTATCTCTAAAGCTTCCGAGGAAATGTCAGCTCCGTAGAGTGGAGAATAGAAATTGACAGAGAACTCAATCTTCTTCTCACTCAGCTGCACCTCGTCAGTATTTACCCAAAAGGTAGGAAGCAAAAACTAGAGTCAAAAAATAAAGGATTATGTCTATTCAGTTCTATTCCTCAGCCCTCTAAATGGGTAGAAGGAACTAGCGAGGAACCTCAGCCAGCAGGTTTATTGGTGAGAGATGCCAAAGTCTGCACTACAGAACCATTTGAAAATCTACTGATGCTTCATCTCTGCTCTAAGACATTTAACTTGTAAACCAACATGTTTCAGGTGAAATAATTGTTGTCTTTAAGACTAGAATCCACAAAAGGCTAGGCACTAACTATATCCACTTGGTAGTTATCTGGCATTTGAATGACTATCAAATGACAATTTTCATAGTATAGAAATCATGTCATTTCCACCCAGATATATGGGCCTCCCTTTCATATCATTGTCCCCTTAAAAAATAGCTAGTTTTTCTTTGATATCCATAGCATTTATCAGCACTGCTGTAAAGCTTGGAACTTCAGCCACTCTTCTGATGCTCATGTGAGCATTTTTGAGCTCAGGACTTTTCCTAAGTTGCAGAAATAGGTTATTTCAAATAAAACAATTTAAACTCAAAGTAATGTAAGTGGTTCTCTTTTAGTGACTACAATTGGAATTTTGCAAATTAAGCAAAGCAGTCACTAAATGAAACTACAGCTGTGCCTAATCTTGATCTTTACTTTCCTATGAAGGTCATAATTTTAAATAGTCATTATATGTAGTTGCTAATTGAGAATTATTTGCACATCTAACACTACAAGAAATACATTAATTAGGGACTTCCGGTTTGAAGGGTTTCGGCAACAGACAGAAATCCATGATCGTGCACGGTTTCTGTCTGGGCTCGCCGCTGGAGCGCCCTGAGCCGGCTGGTTTTGAGGCTAAGCCACCCTGTAGAGGTGGTGAAGAGGGGGGAGACCACCAGCAGGGTTGAGGAGAGCCGCATCTCTCCTCCTCAGCTGGCCATTACTCCCTTTCCTGAAGGCGGTTGTAGCAGTGGTCAGAAATGGCCACCACAAAGGAGAACTCGACCGGAAAAGAATGTGCAGGAGGAAGATAAGAAGTGAAAGTTTTGGCTGACCGGGTTAAATTGTAAAAGCAACAACTAAGGTACCCTGGAATTTAAAATTACAAAAAATAACATCGCTCCCAAAGAAGAGTCGGAAGCAGTGAAGGAAAGGTTTGGCTTTTTTTTCCTTCTCTCTCCTTCCCTATACTGACAACTAAGAGACTTAAATAAGAAATTGGAAAATTCCGCTTTGACATCAATAGGCAATTAAGCTGAAAATAAAACAAAATGCCAAAGGGATAATAAAGATTTCTGGACATTAAAATTTTTTTTTCTTTTTCATAAGCAGGAAGGGAGAGAAAAAGAATAAGGGCAGGATCTGGAAGAGGGAGGAGACTGCCTGGAATTAAAAAGAATCTACAGTAAAACTTCAACAAGACTTCTAAAAGATACATTTTAACTGAAACTTTGCAACTAAATAGTAACCCCAGGAAGAGAAAGTGAAAAAAAGAGCAAAAAAGAAACAGCTTGCGTGTATTTGGATTATTTGATGATCTTTGGATTCTTGGTTATTATATTTGAATGACTAAAATCAATCAGGTGGTTGTTTAAAAATTTATACAATAGCACCAATTCTGGATGAATTGAAAATGGAACTTAAAAAGTACAAAGAAGATGCACAAGAAGGGAAGGGTTCTTTTGGCTTCGTTTTTCAATTCTTAGAAATGGAGATTTGGAACTATGAGAAACAACAAGAAAAGACTGCAAAACAAGAAGACTGGGACAAAGAAGAAGCCATCTTTAATGAACAAGCAATTTTATGTGGGGAAGAAAAAGGAAAGTGGGGAAGGAGAATGGAGAATTTAAGACTTAAAAAACCAACCAAAGAAAAGAAAAATAATTCAAAAAATAAGTATAATACTGGAAAGCAACAGAAAGGGGGAATACAGAAGAGAGAAATAGAGAGAAAAGGGGTAATAAGGGGAGAGAGAAGAAGAGAGGGAAGAAGGAAAGGAAAAGAAGTTACAAAGGACTGGAGGAAGATATAGAGAAACAGGACCTATGGGTGAAAATCTAACTGAAAAAGGGATTCTGTAAAGGTACGTAAGATTGTATTGTTATATTAGTAATAGAAATAACTTTAGAAAATTGGAAACAATGTATGATTAAAATGAGGGATAAAATTGTAATTTAGTGAAATGTTTGTGAATAAAATAAGTGAAATAAAATAAATGAGAAAATTGAATTAGGAAGGAACGGGAACATTTTAATTAGTTAATGTTTTATAAAATATAAGTGAAGGGGGGGGGAATTAACTACGGAAAGCTTATAATTATTCCCATAGAAGTAGGATATTTAATTGAAAAGTAATGTTAAAGATGTTAAGACTTTAATTAATATTAAGGATAGAATTGAATTGGAATGGAATGTTGTTTTAATTATATACATTTATATATTTTTTCTTTTTTTTTAAGAATACAGTGTGTATTTTAAGAATGTACCAAGCAGAATCCGAATGGAAGTTACGTATTATATTGAATGTTACAACTTTAGGGAAAAGATATAAAGGCATCATACTCCAATCAGTAACCACAAGAGAAATTTTGTTTAATGAGAAACGATAATAGATAATTGAAACAGGACAGACAAAAAATATAAATACAATGATTTGAATTGAGATGAGATAATTAAAATAAAATTGAGAAAATTAAAAGAGAGGAGAAGCTATGCAGAAAATGTAAAATAATAATAAGATATGGAAAAGAATATAAAAATGAGCATGAACCTGAATTTGTGTCTGTACGAAGAAATGTAACCCGGGATTACTCTACTTTCAAAAAAGATGTTTTATTTGTATTTTTTTTTCTTTGTGAAAACTCAAATAAAATTTACCAAAAAAAAAAGAAATACATTAATTAGTGAATTTTAGTAATTAGCTGACAGTGCAATCCTACCCATGTTCACTCTAAAGAACCGCAGAACTCAATGCAACTGACTTTAGTTAAATGAATACATCAGCGTTCCCAAGCAATGTTACTTCAAATAATGAGAGATGTCATTTTTTTTCTTCATATGAATGATTTCTCATCATACTGCCTGTCATCCCTTGGTCCAAGTTCAGCTTATTTCATTTCCAATCGAACGCAAGGTAGACCACTTTTCAATCACTTTCTCCCTTCCTTGCCCACAGACACAGAGGCTTAAAATCTTGTTATCCTGCTATTATGTAGGCATTTTTATAGCTTGTCCTCCTTCCATTCCTCTACCAAGAAGAATGGTGGTTGTTTACAGCTTTAACATTATGTTGTCACATTGCAGCTATGCAGGGACTTTGGAATACCAGTTTACTTCTCTGCCACCAAAGAGCTAAAACACAGAAAGCATTCACATTGTTTAAGCCATCTGCCCTCATCAACTAAGCCGGTCAAAAAGATTTATTTTTCTCACTGAGTACTAGATACAAGTGCATAAATACTGTAAATTGTAGTAAATGACCATCATTTCAAATATTTTATACATTTCTTTGTAAAAATACCATGTCACTATTACAGTATGCATCGCCTCATAAATATTCTTAAACTAATTAAAGGCAATAAATTAACAAGAAAAGATTCATTTTCTATAATTTTATGTATATTTTTATTAGTGGGTTAAAATTAAACAGGCATTCTAGAATGCATTTGTATGTGTACTCAGTTACATGAAATTAACTAAACATTTTTTGATAATTTTAAATAAAAAAGAAAGTAAATCTTACTTAAGTTCTACTTAAACGGGGTGGTTTTATTAAAATTGCAAGTGTAAAAACTGTAATTAATCTAAATTAAAATATACAATAAAAATTAAAACAGCCACCCGATTAATGAAAATATTTCCATGCAACATATAAAATGTAAATTAATATGAATATATTTAAAGGTTGAGAGTATTAATACATATTTGCTTGGTGCCAAAAAGTTAATAAAATTAGCACCAGAATCATGGAAAAGGCTTCATTCAGCCTGTGACTATTTGTTTCATCTCAACAATAGGCTCTCTTGTGATGGCCAGCTCAGACTCAGAAGAGTCTGAAATGAGGAAGATGCTCAAGATGCTAAAGACAAATATTAGCCTTAAAGGAAGTTTAGCAACTAGGCACCTGAGGCTGACATGACTGCGGAACATTCAAGTCACCTTGAAGCAGATGAAGGCTGGATCCCAAATGTCCTCCCACCCTACAGCATGCCGAACTGTGTACAGAGGAGAACAGAACAGTTTTTGTGCATGCGTTTGCACAAAAGCTCTCCCTGTCACTGCCTATATTTACTAAGTTCTAAGTAAAGCTTTTACTTCTCAAGAGCGTTTATGTGTGTTCATGGGGATATGTGTACATGTCTGGCCTGGGACAGACATTCTGAAAACAATCTCCAGGCAACAGGTAGAAAAATCCAGGAAGAGACCACTGGATTTGGGTAGCTTATAAAGTCAAATAAACACATAAATAAAAATCCTTCCAATAACATGGTCTCATGCCCTAAAGGGCTTTATAGATTAATATTAGCACTTGAATGTGGATTGCATTGAGACCCAAAGAATACAGAAAACTGACTTAATATTTTTACAATACCCAGTTCTAATCAGTATTCCTGCTTGCTGTATTTTGGACTACTTGAAATTTTGAGAACATCCTCAAGGGCAGTTCCATAGAGAACATATTGCAGTAATCTAAACCATAGTTTACTAGAGCAGATTACTGAATCAAGGTTAAATAGAGCAGAGCTAAACATTTTAAAAATACTTACCTGTTTTCTCTTCTACTGTTTTTACAGCAATAACATTTTTCTCCATGGTACTGGGATACTAGAGAAAAATGCAAAATGCAGATATCAGAAATTATATAGTAGAAGAAAATCTTCCCAAATTATTATCTATAAACTTTTAATTTAACAATTAATCAGTGGTTTGGCTTGTGTCCAGAAGTTGTGGGTGCTCTAACACTGGAGGCTTTAGGAAGAGATTGGACAACCATTTGTCTGTAGTAGTATAGCATCTCTTGCTTGAGCAGAGGGTTGGACTAGAAGACCTTCAAGGTCCCTTCCAACTCTGTTGTTCTGTTAAATATTTTTTTCTTTATTTCTCAACATGGAGAAGGAATGTTAATTTATGCCAATAAATTTGCTGCAACTGTTGATTAATTAAGAAATATATTTGGGACACAAAATCAAAATGTTCTGGCTCAGTTACAGAGGAGGATAAGTGCACCATTAAAAGAACCGATTGGGGATAGATTGCCATGGAGAAGATCTATGTGATCACTAGGAGTTGAAAAGGATTTGATGGCACATATCGATCAATCTCTTCTGAATTTCAACTGTTTCAAATTCAAAGCATTTCATTTTGAGTATGATATTGCTGTTTGAGTTCATTTAATGAGTATTTCTGAGCTTAAGGAAGTGTTTCTTAGCATTTCTTTGCCAAAATAAATCATTTCAAACACAATTTAAACTGCTGCAATACTTTTATTAGTGAATTTTAGTAATTTGCTACATGGCAGTGCAATCCAATATTCATCTACAGTACAAAAGGTCTTCAACTTACAATGACAATTGAGTCCAAAATTTCTGTTGCTAAATGAGACATGTCTTTCTTGCCAGTTGTTAAGTGAATCACTGCAGTTGTTAAGTTAGTGACACGATTAAGCGACTTTCATTTCCCCATTGACTTTGCTTGTCAGGTTGCAAAAGGGGATCACATGACGTAAGGACACTGCAACTGTCATAAATGAGTCACTCTGAATTTTGATTACATGACCATGGGAATCTGGCAATGGTCATTAAGTGTGAAAAATAATCTTGTCACTTTTTTCAGCGCCATTGTAACTTTGAATGGTTACTAACTGGCCTGTTGTAACTTGAGGACTACCTCAGAAGAGCCACATAGACCAATGCAGCTTACTTATTTAAAGTTAATGCAAAAGCCTTTCCCCAGAAATATTGGGTAGGGTGAGGTGAGGTAATGCATTATATTAAGATGACATGAGAAGGCTTGGTATGGATATAGCAGAAATCTCTTCAACAATACACATCTGAGAGCTTAAAATGGATAAAGGGTGGAGAGTGTACACTATCGTTGCCCCTACTTTATCGACCATAAGTTCAGCTGTACAAAGCTTTTCACGATGTCACACGACGATGCTGTGACGACATGAGTTTGACACCCTGCTATATAGACTGTATAATTAGAGGTTATTTCTTGTTTCTTTTTACGACCCTGTAATCCCTTGTGTCAGTGTGGAGTCAGGAAGACTCAATGGAGCTGAACGTTTCCTGGCCAGATACCCTTCCTGATGGAATTCACAACAAATATTTTCTCTTTGTGCCCTGATAAGAGAAACAGCTGCTGTTGCCTAGGATTGAAGTCTCAGCCTCCTAAGTGTGAGGCGAGCATCTTAACATCTAGGCCACCATACCTCTCCTATAGATTGTACTATACTAATAATGGAAAAAGAAGAGATCATGCAAAGAAAAAACAGAAAATGGGTATCCAATTATACATCATGGAATATGTTAGTGGCTTAATATCTTTTCCCCACACTTCTGTGTGGGGGAAGGCATTTTATCCCTTCCTTTGATCTAACTGCTGAGTAAGATGAGTGTCCGAATGCTAACTGGCAGAAAACAAATATTTGAAAAACTGTAGTTGAATAGTATATGCAAAAACATATTCTCTACATCTTACACATGTCCATGAGTTCAAAATGGTTTCATATCCTCAACTTCATTGAAATGATAATTTAGAGTTAAAAATGTGCTTTCCTGTAAACAGATTAACACTTGAGAAAGGATGTTAAAGATTTGATTATGGACAGCTTGAACATACAGAGCAGAGCTGATGAAAATGTGCAAAGAAGTAATTATTTAATTATGAGTTAAAGTGTTAAAATATATGTCAAAAGTATTAATTGGTGGCAGTGTTGTCCTGGCTTTGTATGAAAGTATGAATCCATAGATTGCTGACAGCTCATTACAGTAAATAGTGCTAATGAAAATATGAGAAAATCACACAACATCCTGAATGAAAGTAATCCAGGCAAAAAATATTTTTGGACATGAATGGATTGGTGGAAACAAGATAAGAATGTAGTAAAAGTGATTGTGCCATTCAGAGAACTAAGAATAAAATAGAATAATGACTGGTGAGTTTCAGAGAAAAAATATATTTTGCATACATGGTTGAAATATAAGTATAGTCATATATACACAGGGTAAAGAATAGAATATGTCTTTAAATAATCAGATTTGTTCGTGAGAAAATGGTTCATTGAAAAGGATTAGTGAAGGATATAAAATGAATAAGATGCTGATTGTGGGATAGATCATTATTCTGTAGTGTTAAAAGTGGCAAAGGAAGAAGTGAAAGAAAAAAGAATGAAAGTAAATGAAACTGCCGACAGGGAAAGTATGAGTTCTGTATGAAAAAGTGTTATAAGATATATTAGAATGAACAGAAAGTAGACCTAAGAAAAAAGGATGTGGAAAACTGGAACAAAGTGAAAAAAATATGTTACTGGGTGTCATTCAAGTATTCAGACTAAACTAAGTGTGAAAAAGCATAACTGATGAAGTAAAATTGTGGTGTGTGAGCAGAAAAAACAATATAAGATTGCTGCAAAATAATAAGGATGACAGAAAGGTATCGTGTACTGCAAGGTGCCCAGAAAAAAACAATAGTTGCAAAGTATGTTGTCAAAAAGAGCTAAAATTAAGGGAGAGAAAATGCAAACACTTCATTATTTTGATGAAATAAAAATTGTTTGCGAAATGAGCAAAGAAGGCTACAGTCCTGCAGAGTGGTTGGAAATAAAAACAGAAGTAATGAAATGATTTGTGTTGAAACTTCAATGAGAATGCTGGAAGGAGCCTTTTAAAGATTCATATGGGGATGATAGCTATGTAGTTTTACAAAGAGTAGAAGTAAAATAATTGCTGTAAAATTAATGTCCAAGAAAAAAAAATGATGAAAAGAGTATCATAAATACTATGACAATGTTAAAAATAGTAATGCTGTAGCTGTAGGTACCATAACTGTGCCAGAAATAGTGTTACTGCTGTTAACCTATATTATATACTGATCTGTCTCTTTATAACATTAGTTGATAAAAGTTATAACGAATATTTCTAGTTTTTAAAATACACAATAGAAATGCTTGGGGGAGAGGGGTATCAGATCTGGATGAGGAAAAATCTCAAACATGAATCCAGAAGACAAAGTGGCCTTGGGTTTATAAGCTTGAGAGAAATGAAGATCTGGCTTTCACATTTGGTCTAGCGGGGAAGCAAGCTTTGAATGCTGGGATGCAGAAACAGACATTATGCCTTCTTTTGATACTATTGAGATTGTTTTTGGTAAGTTTATTTTTACTGAGGGCTCATTTCTTATATTTCTGATTGTTAGTTGCTTAGAGCCTTGAAAAGAGAAAGAGAAAAAGAGGAGGGAATATTTCAGCACCATTTTTAAATAGGTTCTTTGCTTGACATTTTAGAAGCTTGCTTCCTCATCTCTGCTATCTCTGCATAAAGTGGGATATTCTTTAGGGAAATATTCCAAAAATAGCCTATGATCAAATCCTTGCAACTAGCCAATTGAAATTTTTCAGGATTGTCCTCCAAAGAGTTTCTGCCAAAAAATATTTTAAATAGTTGCACACAATGATACTTTTCCCTATTATAGCTCAGTGTCCATTTTTTTCTAAGTTTAATGTCCAATCAGTTAAAATTATGTTGCCTTTGAAACCTGAATTCAAATTTAATTATGCTACTTTTGAATCCCAAATTCAAGTCACATCTTAATGATTCATACATGTCTAGTAAGTATTCCTTCCTTCTCATCTTAACTATTGTTTTTTAAGTTAAATATTTCTGAGCTCAGAAATTAGTATAAATGAAACTACTGACATTAATGCATTATAAAAATAAATAAAATGATATTTTACTCCAATAAACTAGTACACAAATGTACAAACATAGATGGCAGAATACATTCAAGTAAATATACAGGGGGGAAAACAAGGAACCAAGCAAAATAGAACAATGAATGGTAAAACTTTACACTTACGGCTGTGGCAATAAATGGAATATACCATAATCATAAAATTCAGATATATGTATATATATATTACGGTAGTAATCATAAGCACTATAAAAAGTAAACTTTCAGAATAAAATAGTAACTAACATTTTTATTTGTATTGTAGGAAAGTTTCAGCTGAAGGTGTTCAGCATTCCTTTATGGCAATTAAATCAGACATTTCTATTCTGCTTATTTCTTTCAAATAGCAGGTTACAGTATAATTACATAATCAATGAAACTTACAATCTATAAGATCCATTCATGCGAAACAAAACTCATTTGCATAAATCTTTCACTAAACAGCAGACTCCATTACTGACACATATTAAAACGTAAGTAACTTAAATTTTGTATGCTATTTCAAAGTGATGAATTAAGTACAGTATTTTATCTAGTAGTTGCAGTATATTGCAACTTTGATATAAACTAGATCTGTGTCATGAAAAACCCTATTAAAACTATCCTGGTTTAGAGTTATTATCTGCAAGATTTTCTGGAAAACCTACATGACTGCTATAGTGCTCCTTAAACAACAATGAAAGGGGGAGAGAATTGGGGGGTTTTTTTTTTGGCTGATGCCTTGCAATCCCATTGCTTCCCAGCTGCTGCAGACAGTTGGTTGTCCCTCTGAGATGGTGGAGTTGCAAATGGTAGCTCATCATGGAATCAAAAGCTGTTATGACATAAAAGGAACCCTTTCACTTGTGGAAGTCTTCTTTGATATCCACAGA